ATCTTGCCAAAGAAGAGCACTGACCTACCCTTGAAGAAGATGTCTCTCTTGTGATGAGCAGACAAGTTTGTTCAACATCCGGTAGAATTGCCTCTCGATGGAAAAGAAAGAAGAAGAAGATTGGTTCACCTAACCGCGCCGTGTAAATCGCGAGTACGGACGTTCACATTTTCACAAGATGACCGGCGATCACAAAAAGCGCCTCATTTACGTTTATGGCCTTCAAAAATCCAAAGATGCTGACATACGAACAAGGATACTGAGCAAGAATGAACAGAATCCTGACATCGCTTTGCAGCAAGGGACCGGTGAGTGTTAGAGAATGACGAACCTGAAACATGATACGTCAATAATTCAGAAATTATCCAATACGAACGACCGTGCGGTCGTTTGTGCAGTCAACCAGACTCACCAAATAGCACCAACTCACGTGAGTTTCTCACATTCCAAACCTCATCTGCCTGTTGCTTTTATAGAGAAGGACATTTTGCTCGGCACCGTCCATTTAAGCATCAAGTTTGCAACCGACGCGGCAGAAAAAGTCATGAAGACTCGTGCTGTTTGGCATGCGCTTCTATTTTGTCGAGAAAGCAGTGCAACAATGCAACACCGTTCAGATGGTCCCATAGGATCAGATCGAACACTGCGACTTTCAAGGTTGATAGCGTCAACAGGCGTAAGTACACCATGGTGGAAAACAATGGCTGGGAATTCAAATAGCAACTTAATACTGCTTCAGATTTCACTCTGATCTTTAGCGACAAGCGGCGCAGGTTTTTGAGTCAGACACTCGTACAAACGACACTCGTACAGACGGCACGGAATGCTTCCGGTGATACGTTAAAATTGCTAGGTGAATTGAACTGTCAAGTGGAGTTCTGAAGCCAATAAATCCACGCAACTGCTTTGTGACAGACCGACCGTGGTTAGATTTCCTGGAACTCAACTAGATAGACGAGTTGAACTTGCTCGACCAGGAGGTAAACAGTACATGCTACTAGCCGTTGCAAGTCAAGCAAATTACGCAGGTGCCAACAATGAACCCTGAATTGCGCAAGCAAATAGCAGATCTGAAGCGATGCCATGAAATGTTGTTCAAACCGGGTCACGGATGCTGTTGTGTAGCCAGAACGGAGATGAACCCCAAATCGGATACCATACCAGTCTTCGGACCAAGACGCGCGGTGCTATACGCAACACAATCTCTAGTGGTAGCCGAGCTTAATCCTTTGCAATCCTGTTATAAGTGAATGGGTGCAGTATTCGGAATGAGCGACACCGATTTTGGTGGTAAAGTAAGCGAACAGTAAGGACGGTATCTGTGCTGCTTTTTCAACAGGACTAGATTCTGCGCTCGAGACTCATCAGTACCAATTGCCTGTACCAGATGACCTGTTCCTCAAACTCGACGGCGGCAAATGCTTCGCATAACTTGACCTAGCTGATGCTTAGTCGCAAGTTCCAGTTGGCGAGGAGTGCAGAACACTACTAATGCTTAATACGCACCTCGGACTATTCCAGTACAACTGGGTGCCATTTGGGGTAAAAACAGCACAGGTCATTTTCCAACAAATTATGGGTACCCTCTGATCGATATCCTCAATGGCGTGGTCTACCTAAACGACACATTTATTATGAGCGCAGACCCGCAAGAATTGATGCACACACTGGAGAGTGCTTTCACGTTTAGGAAGAAGCTGGATCGTGTTTACGGGCTGAGAAATGTGACTTCGTGTTAGATGGTGTTTGATTCCTCTGGTTTATCATATAACAACAAGGCCGGCGACCAGGTCCCGCCAATATCGAAGCAAACGAACAGAAGTGGCCTCCGAAAGACGTCGGAGAGCTTTGCTCATTCCTCGGTCTCCTGAGTCATTACAGTGTTTTCCCATCAAGCCTGCATCAAACTAGAAATCCGCTGAAATAGTTGCTTACGAAAAACAACGTTTGTCAATGGACGAGGGAATGTCAACAGTTCTTCGACGCAGTTAAAGTAACGTTCATTTTTGATCCATTATTGACTCATTTCAATCCGACCTTAGAAATCATCGTTACCTCGGACGCTTCCAATCACGGTATCGGCGCCGTTATTTCCCATCGTTTTCGGAACAGAGGAGAGAAGGCACATGCGGCACTGTCCTTAAGGTCAGCTGAGATGAACTATAATCAGGTTGAAAAGGATGCACTCGTAGTCGTTTTCGCCATGAAGCGGTTCCACATGAGGCGCTTTGACAGACATTGCAACCTCCTGATTGATCATTAGGCATTGCTGTCGATATTCAGCTCAAAGGAAGAAATTTCCGTTTTTGCCGCGAAGCGGCTGCAGTGATGGGCGAGTATACGGTTGGCGTACGATTTCATTATACAGTACCGACCTACGCAACAAATCGGCCAAGAGGATGCCCTGTCTCGTCTAATCAGTTTGCACCCAAATGAGAACGATTGTGTTCGAGTCAGAAGCCCAGCCAATTCTGCCCAATAATGTAAGAAGATTCACATTAACAGCTCAGATTATTCGCGCGGTAACTTCCCGAGACAGAACCTTACCTGCAAACAGGTTGGCCAAAAGATCGTATGGCTGCTGACTTGCGGTCTTTTTCTACAGACGTGGGTTACTGTTCGCTGTGCACAATTGTTTGATGTTTGGAGTTCGGTTGGTAGTGTCAAAGAAATTGAACAGACAAGTTTTGCAGCATTTCATACCATGCATCTAGGTACCAGTCTTATGAAAGCCTTGGCACGCAGTTGTGTTCAGTGGCCCGGAATGGATTCAGAAATCGAACAATTCTGCCAAATTGTGGATCCTGTCAACTGGCGGCGAAGGCCGTTCCCAAGTGCCCCTGGCAACCTTGACCCAAATCAAACCAGCCACGGCAGCGAATCAACTTAAATTATGCAGGACCAATCGCCGGTATATCTTATCTTGTTTTGGGGGACTCTGTCTCCAATTAGCCCGATGTGACCCCGATGCAAAGTCTGACTGCACAGCGCACGATCAACAAGCTGGATAAGCTGTTCCAGTATTTCCGCCTGCCTGAGATGATAGTGACAGACAGCGGTACGCAATTTACTTTAACTTCCTTTCGCGGGTGGTGCAAAGAGAAAGAAATTCAGCAGACGTTCTCACCGCCCTATCATGTGCAATCAAACGGACTGGCGGAACGGTTCATAAATACATTCAAACGTGCTCTTTGTAAAGCGGGACAAAACTAGGTCGCAAGGGACGCGATCTAGTCTTTCCTGTGCAAGTATCGGAATGCGTCAAACCCAAAGACCCCAGATGGAAAAGCCCCTGTCGAAATGTTGGTTGGACAAATGATCCAGAGACTATCCGATAACCTTGTACTAAGCAGGAAAGAAAAGCATTACAGTTGTCAATTGGAGGAAACTGACAGACAGGCTCAGTCATTTGGACATTGGTGACATTCTGTTCGCGCGAGATTTCCGAGGACCGAGAAGGTAATGGACAGGAAGAGTGATCGGCAGAAAGGGTCGAGTCATTTACGAGCTAGTGGTAGAAAATGAGCAATAGGTGAGGCACGCCAATCAGCTGAGGCGGAATCACGGCAAGACTCAAAGTTCCTCAGAATCGCCATCCCTACCGTGGGACATCCTGCTAGACACGTTTGGTTTGGATGAGGAAGCTGGGCGGTTGCGTAGATCACAACAGAATCTGTAAGCATTAGACGACACACAAAACAGGCAGACTCTAAATCAGAGATGACCACAATGACCACAAGTTGACCCCAAGGCGGAATGCTATAGACAAAGTTGTGTTCGAACGGTACGCTGGTAGACTCAGTTCGAAAGGGGAAGTAATAGGCGGGCACAAGGGATAAAAGCCGTAATACGTTTTTCGGGGCACTGACCGGCATGCAGTAGGTCACACTGGAAGATGACTCAATCAGTTTGCAATTCAAGACAGAGGTGGCCATGTAATCTAGCGAAGGTGTCAGAACCAGTGCACCATCGCCGTACGGGTTGCTATGGTGTGAACGTGAACGTAAAAGCCGCTAACAGAGTTAAAAGCTGTGCAAACAAGATGTGATTCATCCCAGTGACAGACCTGCGAACTAAGAGCATGTACCCTATAAAATTAATCGTGTTCTGTGTCTAACATACTTCGGTCTGGAGGTCTTCGGTATTCTGTTTCCTCCCGACTGGGTTAGCTTGGCGGAGTGCAGGCGAGGACAGCCTTACAACATGTTGATATAAGGTTAAACAATTTGGTCAGGACCTACCCTTCCAAAGTTCACGCGCTGTCATGTCCGATTGGATGATTCGGTGTGGATGCCCTCAGCAGGCGCCTCAAGGAATAAAAGGGAGGTTGTAGCGATTGTACAATGTTAGCTTTCTAAGTGTAACTTCGTATTATCCTTTTTAGTTTTATTTTACAGTTCGTGTTAATTGACCGAATACCGGTAAACACTTCTACAAATTTTTTTCGCGTTCTGGTTTCGGCTACACCTGTTCAGATATGCTTCCTGGGTTTGCTTGCTTCTGTCATCGTTTATCGGGTGTATCACGCGGAAATATCGCACTGACTGATGTCTCATTTTCTGTGCAGGACTGTGCGACAGAGGACGGAGTGCCATGTCCACCCGAAGGACTGGCTCAACATTTTAACCTCATAGACTGGGTTCATTTATGTAGTCGAGAGGTTTAACTTTGGTTTTCCACTAAAGGGTTTTATTACCAGGCGGAAGTTCCAGCTTACTAGCTATTTGAAAACAGACCAAACAGGACCCCATGTATCTTTTACCTATTAAAGTACTAGATTTGATACTGAAATTAATCATGATGTGAAGTGAGCACTTGCGTTCTTTTAGAATCATTGATTACAAAATGGAAGTGGTGATAGAAGGCACGATGGTCTGATCTTGAAGTTTACTTTCGCTCAGCATTTTACTATAAAGTTTATTCACCTGTTTTTCGTCTTATCAAACGTTACAACCTCTTCCATACCTACCTGGTACTATTCGTCCGCTCTTTGTACTCAGGTGCTTGACAGCTATTCTGGAAAAGTACTTACCAAGTAAATATTTCAACTGCGGCCTAATAAGCGCTCAGGTCGATCAATTGGTGCTGAAAGACCTGCTAGCGAGTAAACTGCCAAAACTTGCCGAACACATAAACAGAATGGAGATTGATATCAGTGCCATAACTCTGAATTGGTTCCTGGTCCTGTTCTACGACTGCGTGCCATTTGAGGTAGGTGCATCATTGTTTAAAATTCCAGGGTGAGACTAACTTGTTTAATCGTTTCTTGATATTCATTCACCCCAGACTAACACCAAACCGGCTTCCCGTATGCATTTTAACATCAGCTGTTCGATTGCCGAAAACATGTGCGGCGTTCGTCGTGGGAGTTGATATTCCGGATGAAAGGTAGTCTGTGAAAACTGAGCAATTACTAGCCTACAGTACATAAGTAATTCGGTGAGCCCTCCCTGTTTCCAGACTCAATGGAGGCGAAATATCTACACTCGGTTTGCAATCCTGAGGATAAACAACGTGGTTCGTCATTGCTTAGTGGAAAACAGTTTTCCCGGAAGTAATCTTCGGAGAAAATGTAACCGTATTTGTAGGCCCTGCTCTCCCGCTATTATGTTAAAACTACGGTATCAGAAATAATGGATCCTATGTTACTTAACATAACTTAACTCAGTTGCAACAGAGGGACTGATCGTAAACTTTGTGTGCAATACTAACCGGTATTCAGAGTAACTTTTCTATCTATTCCAGTTACACAAGCGAGTAACCAGCACTAAAATGAGCGAATCCGGTTACCTGAATAATGTACTTACAAACAATGCGAGTGAAAATTATATCAAGCCCTCATAAGAACCGAAGCACACGTAACTAAGAAGAAAAGGATGTTTGTGATTTTAAACATGCCCAGCAAGAAACAAATGCTCGAATACAATGAACGCCCAATTCCACAGAGTGATTTCAAATGAGTCGTGTGAAAGCGCATGTCTATCCCTAGATCACCAGACAGCAACACTGGACCACGATTTTTATCTGATTCCTCATGCAATCCAGTAGCTATATCCAAATGTTCGTCCTATGGTACCACCTGACTTATTAGAGCTTCTGCGAAGTGGTCACATTGGTAGTCTGAAGTCAGACATACCAACTACCTTGCTTGTACAGAATCGATGATAAAGCTTGCTACGTAGAAAGCATGGAAGTAGCAACACTCTGGTGCGCAGTACCAACGTTTCGCCTCCGCGAAATCATTACCAGACGCACGTGGGCTAAGGATATTACGAGGGTCGCCCAGTTCCCTACACAGGCTCAAACCCGCGAACACAGAATCCCGAGGCAGACTTGTGATCCTTAAGGCCATAGGCCGGCACACACATACACAACCGACTTCGGCCACCGGACAGTAAGGTACACCATGTTTCGTGCTAACCAACGCCCAAAGTAACTAATTTAGTAGCATTTGCATCACGCTGTGTTCATGCTTCTGATCCATCTGGTAATAATTGTAGAGTCGCAACCTTGCACCCAATGTTCCCTCTGGACAAGCAGATATTAAGATTTGTTCTTTCCCGTTTCGGTCTATCGAGGACTGCAGATATGGCAAATGATCTTTAGGTGTCATGTCTTTCCCTAATTACGTGTGATCCAACAAGACAGCTTTAAAAACTCCCACCCATAGTGTCAACTTTGGTGGGATCATGTATGTTCACTGTATTCGTTAGACCATAGTGGAATTAGAAATCGAATGAACCACAGTTATCTTGAATGACTCAGATAAAGGTTCCTTAAAAGAATTCCACTGATTCCGTGGCAGAAAAGGGGTAATGAAGTAGATTATATTTTCTTTACGGACGAAAATTGATAGAGATTAAAGCGACCATCAGTATCGGGCGCGGCTTTCCGGTTGGGGAGAATAATTATGCTGGTGGTTTTACCTAGTGTTGTTTCAGTAGTTGCACAAAAATATTCACATCCAATCTAGGCGAGCTCGCACATACAAAAAGTAGTCCTGCTCTGACCAACGATTAGTTTAGGGATAAGCAAGCAGTTGCGGTGGGTTGCAGGTCAGAAATTTATGGAAGCTCACAGAGTTAATCCTTCGAATACCTCACCTAGCGTCCACCAAGATTTCCTAAGAAAGCACATATACAACTTGCCGTAGAATGTTGAAAAGGCAATCAGAACCACTCGCATGATTAAAATGCACACAATATGCTAGATTTGTGGAGAATAAAAAGGCGCTTCGTATTATTCCTCCATCTTATCCAAATTTAGAGCATTTTTCATACTCTGCATAACAGTTGTTTCTACGGCTCATCTTAAGGTGCCATAACTAGTGCGGTTTAAGCGAGTTTATAGTTAGAAAATCTCTAAACTCATTAAATAAGTTCGCATTCAGATTTGATTGCAGATTCAATTTTACTGAGTGAGGTTAACCAGATCTCCGTTGCTTTTAAAATGAAAGTCCTAGGTTCGGTACGACAACAATGCTTGCAGGTAATTAATGAGACGTAAGTAATCTACTTGAGTGTATTTACATTAAATGTGCCCCTTATCAGTACTGTGTAGCCCGATGAAATAAGTTAACTAAACTGGCTTCTGTTTCTTGCAATACATTCGACATCTCTAGAAGAAAGGGGAATAGTTCGAAGCTGCTATCTAGAGCCACATGAAACACTGACCACTGGTGGTCAAACTGATGATTGTTGTTCAATTTATGTCACAAATTAAACGCTACGCTTTTGGGTCGAATACCCTAACATGAGTCATTTAACTGGTATATGTTTTGTGTCTAGCACCACCTTGGTGTTTTGCCTACGCGCGAGGCGATTTCATCTGAGCTCCAACACTCTGTATGCGTTTGTTGATGGCTGAGTCTGTCACTCAACTAGTGAAGCAGTAGACTACTCTACTGCACCAGCATACCTCTCCCAGCGTTGCTAAGATGCGTCCAAAAGCGTTGAAATTGGCTGCAGGAAACCTGGCGGATCCACTCTGCAAGTTCTTCCAACGATGCCTCGATGGGATGTGGGTACCAGCAATGTGGAATCAGGGCATCGTCACTCCCATTCATAAGGGGAGAAGTCGTACAGATCCGTCCAACTATCGCTCGATAACATTACTTCCGGTGCTCTCCAAAATCATGGAAGCGATTATTGCCGAAGCGCTGAGGAACTTCTTGGAAGAACGCAATATCATGGCACAAGAACAACATGGATTTCGCAAGAGCCGATCTTGCACTTCAAAAGTGCTGCTTGCCAGATCCATTTGGACTGAGACCGTTGACAGCGGCGTAGGTGTTTACGCAGTATATCTGGACTTCTCAAAGGCATTTGACCGTCTGAACCACCATATCCTCCTTCACAAGCTGCAGTGTTGTGGAATTGGTGACCCAATCCTCGGTTGGATAGGTAACTTCTTGCTTCAACGACATCTGAATGTAAGAGTTTGCGGCGTCATCTCTGACCCAATCGACGTTAAGTGCGGAGTGCTCCAGGGCTCAGTACTTGATCCACGAGTATTCCTGATTTACATAAACGATCTCGCGACAGTAATCACCTCCAACTCCTTGCTCTTCGCTGATGATCTCAAGATAAGGCGAGCCATTAGAACAACCAGCGACAATGCAGCACTTCAGGATGATCTTGACAGGGTCTACAAATAGTCGACTCAGAACCTGCTTCAGTTCAACGCTACAAAGTGCAGGGTGTTGAGCATACGCCATAAAGCCACTTGCGAATACAAACTGGAGGATCAAATATTGCAGCGCAATTCAACGGAATGCGATTTAGGCGCGATAGTGCAGGGAGATCTGGGCTGTTCCCGTCAGGCCGAGAAAGCCTCCAAGAAAGCCAATCAACATCTTGGCCTTTGCGGATGGCATTCGGGCGCTTTGATCCTTTCATCTTTTCTCAGATGCTCAACGCCTACATTCGGCCTCCAGAGTCCGCGATCCACGGCTGGCAGCCATGGCAAAAGCAAGACCCGACCGCTCTTGAATTGCTACAACGAACGGCGACCAAGAACGTAAAGGGCCTGTTTCATCTCCCTTACCGATTGAGGCTGAAAACCCCCGGGGTCTACAGTGGACAATATCGAGGCCTGCGTGGCAACTTGATAATGATTTATTTGATGTTGAGGAATCCAAACCAGTCTTGTCGTCACCTATTACAGCTGAATAACAATACCACACTCAGAGGACATCATCTAAAGCTGGCCACACAATACAGCCGGTTGGAAAGCTGCCGGAATTTCGGTTCCCTTCGTGTGTGCCAACATTTGGACGCCCTTCCCACATACGTTGTTCCTTCCTGCACGCCATCGGTATGCGAAAGATGTCTGGATGATTTGGTTATTCACTTACATTACGCTATATAATCAGTGAAATCTACGTCGACCAAAAGTGAACAAACGGTGCTCATTCTCAGCTTTTGAGCTTCACTGCTTACACACTGCTGTTGTGGAGTATCATTCGGATATACTACAACTGCATTCATCAATTACATCAGTCCAAATAAGCGTTGTTGTTACTTTTGTTCTTAAGACATACCATCCCCATGTTCCTTCCCCATATTACTCTACAGTAACAATTCAGTACACATTATACAATATTTATATAACTATGGGGCACCTGAATCGCTAGAAGCTTAAACTGACGATTTGCACTTATTTTACTTTCACTTCAACCATCCTACGGGACTTGTAAAGCACTCACTTTTTTACTTGCAATATATCATTGTTCATTGTTTCATTAAGACTTTTGTCAGTGTGGTCCCGGGGATGTGTATAGTTAAAAAGGAAACTCCCTGGATTGCACCGATATATATTTGAGTGTGTACAACCACCCACTCGTCCTTATTCTTGCAGTAGTGGCGACGATCTAGACCACATCGATGGATTTAGTTAGGCGTCTGAGTGTGGAGAACACATTTTACAGGCAAAGTAGCGTATACGATTGAATCCACATGCCAACTTGTTTCGACAGTCTGATATAAAACGGTACTTGTATCAGTGCATCTCCGAAAACTCTCTCATGTGTTAACTAAAATGGCGCTAGCCAACGATGTAATTTATCGTCACATAGATAGAGAGCATTGCGAGTTGTCTGTTACGGATACTAAAGTTTAGTCTGTTAATATTGTGGAGAGAAACCGATGATCGGGGGTGAGGAATTCCTTCAATTAGGAAGCAAGACAAACCGCGCAGCGGTAGAAGTTAAC